CAGCGATTAGTTCGTAAGCGCACCGGCGAACACATCTTGTGATGATCGACCCGCTGGGTTGATCAAGCGCGGCGTCGAAAAAATCATTTACATTTAAGTTGTGCAAAAACTTAAGGCACGACCGCTGACAATCCGTTTCCCGCCCTCCCTGGGTCCTCAGCGAAGTCTCAAGGTATCTCGAAATTGCCGTGTAGCCCAAAGTGCAGTTCTAACTTGCTTTTTAAGTAAACTTGATTGTTTATTCACTCGATTGGTTAACCTCGTCTGCATTCACGCGATGTAAAGTCAACCGGTCGTCGACTTCAAAGGGATGACGACGTTTTAGTACCACTGATTGTTTACACATTACGTGGTCTTTAAATCAGCCCGATTATCAAGGCAATGTTATTTATGGAGACGTTTAACGTGCACTATGCGCCCAAAAATAAAGCGAGGTGAGTAGTAAAACCCAAATGGGCATAATTAAAGCGGAGCCGATAGCCGGCTGGATGCACGAACTGCAAACGAGACGTCTCCAGGATTCCGTCGTGTCAACACAGGCGTTCTTGTATGCTCAAAACCGCGGGGGGTAACGGCTGCCCCTTTGTTGGTAATTTTTTTGTGTAGTTTCAATTGCACACAACTCCTGTTGCGCTTGCAACACCTCCCACCACCATCAGGCGCAACTTCCAAGTAAAAGTACATGGTAGCGAGAGGTGCCGTACGAGGCGCAGGTATTATTCATTCGCCGGGAGGCGTTGCAACAGTTTAAAAGGGGTTGGTAAAACTTGGTTTGGTGGTTTAATATTTCCGGCTATTACCACAACAATCAGTGCAAATATGTGGCGTGTCATACGCTGGGAGGCGCATTGCTGAACAAGCATCTTTTGCTGTAACCCCAAAAGTGCCTTTAAAAAGGGTCAAATGGCAGAATTGTGATTTACTCACTTTTTCAATTTCGTCACCATGAGGAGGTCGTTGAAGAGAATGAGATAGAATGTCTCGGGTTTCTTTCGCCCCAGTTTCTTGAGCAGAACCGAGGCTTTGCCGTCTGAACTGGCCGATTTCAGTTCGCCCTCCTTGATTAGACGCTTGTCACTGATAGCAATTCTCTGCAAAGTGGAGAACGGAGGAAGTGCTGATGATAAAATCTAATTGCACAGTAAACACGCTGGAGGCAAGTTCGGTCGAGGAAAGCGTTTTCTCGTTGTCATAAGCTCCAACACAGTGTGCAAAGACAGGGAGCAGAATGACCCTCAAACGCTTCAACTTTTTCTCTTGTTGCTGTAAATCTCTTCCCCCTAAACTAACCCGTTTTTTTGTTAAGCAAGTTAATTAAAATGAATTAAGGATGCTGTAGTTTTTATTGACATTGCAAAGAAGTTACTTTGGGGCTTAATGAATTCACTCCATCGCCAGGCCTTTACTAAATGAGATAAGACTAGGGCCTAAATTTTTCACATTTGTCCATTGATTTGGTATGGTGAAAGAAAAAAACCTTCCTGCAGAAAAACGTTCTTATAAACTTGGAGCGTCAAATGGGGTAATTTACCGCCCCTTGCAGTCCCACAGAATGACAGATTACAGAGGTGCGCGCCCTAGGGGCATACAGACTTCGATGCGGCCGCCTATTACGTGGTTCCAACAGCCTCAATCGAAATGTTACCGTTAAAGAAGGTCAGGCCATATCAGAAAGCACAAGCAATAGCCACCTCCCCACCTTGACATTTTCTGGGAACTCCAGGGCCGAGGAGAGTGCCAGTAGTCGTGCCTTTTCGTCCATGAGTTGTTTCTCGGACTCGCTTTCCGACAGAAGCTGTAGATTTGTTTTTTTTTTTAACAAGAGAAAAGAAGGAAATAGGTTATGGATAACGAAACACACAATCATTTGGCCAATTTTTGGACTTATTTTGGCTCAATCCACCCCCACAAATGCATTCACATTACGTGTATGTAATGTCTGGTAATCGCTTTCCCACGCACTGAAACGAGGTGGAGCCCATTTTGAAATGGAACACTGTTGTACATCGGAATATGTCTGAATCTGTTAGGCTTCTTGCTGTTTGCTGTTTTTTGCAATTATAAGTGGATATAAACTTTGTCCGATAAAAAGAGGAGACTTAGACATGAATAATTCAGGCTTGAGCCTTATTGTTGCGCTTTAGTGGGTGGACGGAGGAAGGAGGATCAACAGACATCATTACTACAACCGACGCTGGAAGCCTTCCTGCTGCGTCACAAAAGGTGGGTCGTGGAGCAGGTTCTTCTCCTGCCGCGTGTTTCGTTGCAAGGTGTTTAACTTCGTTCATCCACTGTGTGTTGCGTGATGTTGCCGAAACGGCGTCGAAAAGAGTGTCAAAGAGGGGGAAGAGCTCTGTTGTGTCAACTCACAACTACCAAAAGGAATGGCATAACTTATTGTCTCATGAAAAATTTCAACAGCTCAATTCATTTTTTGTGCGCTTCCATGTAAAATCACTTCGTACATAGGGGTGAAAATAGGGAAAGGGAGACTACCTGACACGTATTGTCACACTAAGGGTTGTGTAATTAGACTCCGTTATGCGGACCGCAGAGTGGCAACAGCACCACCAACACCGTAATTAGACTGCTACATATTTTGCTCATTTCAAATAAAATTACTAACGAGCAAAATTAGTCTGAATTTGAGGTGATTTTGCAGAAAATGCTTGGCATTTTGGAACCAGAAGCATCTTAAGGAATGGGCAGTTACTAAGTGGCTTGGGAAACCTAAGGGGCACAGAAAATGCCACCACCTTCTGAACAAACATTTGTGAATGTGGCAACCTAAGTCGATAATCACGAAAATAAACTATCTAAAGTCACCCTGTCGCACTGCAAGATTGCAATCGTAGAGCCCCTTAAATTGTGTCCCTCATCAAAGCCAGCATTTGATCGCATTACCAAGGAGACTGAGTCCGAACTCACCCGTTTGAGTTCTTTTAGGGCAATACTGGAATTCTCCAATTGCTGTGGTGTAATTTTCATTCTGCGGAAGACTTCACACTCTCCCGGCGTCATTGTCTCCGTGGAACCGGTGACTACTCTCTCCTCGGCGTCATTGACCACTGCCATTTGGAGTTTTTGGATCACCTCGACGAGCAACTTCAGGCGTGTTAGCCTCTGCATCGGCAGGGCGAGGAAGGAGTCCAATCGATTCTTTCCAACGGCTGGATGTGCGTGCATTCTGGCGATGGCCTTTTGGAAGTCCTCACGACGACTGTTAGAAGTGGGTGAGGCCAGTTGAAGCTATCAACTGCTTATTTTGGCGGTTCGTTATTATGTTTAGTCGCGTCGTACTGCCCAACTTGCACACCCTCACGTACACAAATTCACCCAACTGGTTGCGTTTTAACAAGGAAAAGTGGCAACGGTTGCGCTAACTCCTTGTTGTTTACCAAAAATAGGGTCGGAACTTTGTTTAAAATAAGTCAGGTCTACATCTCTAAGGTTGTGAGCTAGTTTGTATTGTGCCTTCCAAGGGAGAGACGAATTTCATTGCTGAATAAATTACTTCGTCCACACAACTAATAAAAAAACGTTGAACAAATCAGGTTTTAGCTAAGAATAGGTTGTTTTCTTTTTCATTTCCTTCCAGATGTCTTGTTTTTCAGTCGACTAGTAGAGTCGCCTAGTGGTTCATGTTTTGCATCAAAGCGAAGTTTTATTTTTCCGACGACTACTACTCGGCATTAATTTCCTTCAGATGTGTCACTTCAGCTTGTTGATCCAAATTTGACCCAGCTTTATGAAAAAAGCAAAAAAAGACCCGTTTGAGATAGCTCAACACAACGTCCGGCAATTGTTTACACAAAGCACGTCTTATAGCATTCAGTGGATGTGCAGCAACTTAGCTGCTATACAGCCTTTCGTGTGTTCTGGACCGGATATGGTGTGCCGGCACATCCGCTTCAGAAACTGAGGCTACCTTGATTGCAAGAGGCGGCCTCTCGTCACGTCCATTGCCGTGCCGCCTTTGAAGGCGGCGCGGTGGTAAAATCGGCAAGCTAGAAAAGTGGCTTAAGCTGTGATTAACGATCTCCCCCTATGTTAAACTTAAAATAGCGGAGGGGATAGGGAGATTGTTTTAAATGAGATCTACTTTTGTTGAACCGTAGTGAAGATATGGCCATGGACACCACTTTATCCACTGTTCGTAATGCACTTCCGGTCAGGCCATAATCGCTTGCCCAATTTACCAGCGTCTGTAAAATCGTTCATAATCACCCGACGATCCGCATCCCCTAACCGTAGTTCCCAACGCTCTGGCCAGAAAATTCAAGTACGAAGTGACTTTCTCCATCCAAGTGAAACAGACGCTGCTCTCTCATTCTAATGAGAGGTGGGAAACGCCAACTGATAAGACCTTTCAAGCAGTGGTGGGCAAAACACCTTTGTAATTAAGGCAACTGCATATTTAGCCTCTACTTAAAACCAGAGCAAAAGGAAAAAACTTAAACAGACCTCAAAGCTACAAAGTTCTGGCAAGAAGACTCACTTAAGTCGTCGATAGGCAGCAACTTGGTAGGTTTGGTTGCGAAGGTACGTAAGATAGGGCTCAAACTGTACGCTCCCTGCGTGCTTGACTATTAAATCGGAGACCTCGCTTAGCAGCGGCTTTTGTGAGGACCACCTTGCCTCCAGATCTTTGAGAAATCTGGTTGTCAATGCCAAAGAAAAGGCGCCTTGTCAGTTGTTTCCGCTATGCTCCTCTTTTGTTGCTTACTAAACACCCATCTTTTGCCTTTCATCTTACCACCGGTGTGAAAGGGGGCTTACAAAATAGTCTAGGCAAATCGAACAAAATACTTAACTATTGAGCGAGCAAAATTCCTCGCAGCCTTCTCTGCAATGGCAAATCCGTGAAAGCGTTGACTGGATGTCTCCGGTGTCTCGTAAATTAATCTTGGCATTCAAATTAAATTTAATATTTAAGCATGATAAATTCCCCAAGGGTGTTTCAGTGAAAGCTTCAACTTCTACTTTTATGCCTTTATCATCAATTTCAAGGTGCGAAAAAATTTGCCCCATTTTTGTTGCGTTGCCCTCGCACCAGTTTCAGATTTCTCCACCGACGTTTGATGTGGCTGTTGCGATTTTGTCAACACATTGTGACTCCTTTGGCTTTCAAAATCTCCAAAACTGTTTTTTCTCTCCTGTTGGCACATTGAACAGTGCCAAATAGATAACTGGTTCATTAATCCAATCCAATATGCTACTGAAAAACTCGAAACACTTTCTAGTAGCATGATGCGAGAGCACAAATCTTTACGGTAGAATACTGGAATGAGGCTATCGCACAGGGAAGTACCACCTATCGTTTGCGCTCAACCTCAGCTCGGGAGTTAGGAGTCATATTTTTTTCCAGCAAGTACAACATTTTCATGCAGCTCCCGATCTTGACAAAAAATATTTAAAAGTACTACCCAGCTCCAGAGTTGTAAAATTCACCAGATGCACGTGTGAGGTCTGGAAGGTCACCGAGAGCTGCGAAGTAAGTTAGTGTCGTTTTAAATCCCACGAAACATCACATTCATTTTTACACAGCGTTTTAGGTCACTCCCAAATTCTCCTCTAAATGAATGGTGCTGTGAGTCATTGGTGGAGCGATGTAAAGCTCTGAACTTATTTTAAACTAGGCTCTGGAGACGGCTTCATTTCCTCCAAGTTTGTCAACTCAGAGGAAGTAAACAAAACCAAAAGCAAACTTTTTCGCAAATTTGCAGGAATAAATCAGACGACAGGAGGATAATTCGGTGCATAGAAGCAGGTGGATGGAAATAAAGTCCCATGTCCATACAAAATCTCTCCTTTGCTTTAAAAGGTTGTGCAGCCAAGGTCGCATTGCCTACATCACTTAGATTTCACAAGCTGACCGACCCAAATTATTCTGTTAGGACCCTTTGCAACGCCAAGTTGTGGATAAAAGTGAAATAAAATTACTTGAAAATCAAATTTTTTTCAAGATTTCACTCATAATTGCATCAACACAACTCTGAGGTGCCCTCATTCTGCCATCACGACGCGATCACTTATGTCACCAGTAATTAGGAAAACTGGTCAGCAAAAAACGAAAAGAAATCCGAGTGTCACATGTAGGTGGCATTGATGCAAATAAACCAACCTTTCACTAGCCATACAAATGAGAAGAACATTGGAGAAGAGGTGATGTTTCTCCGTCGGACTGAGAACCGACTTGACCACGGGAGCAGCAGTAGTAGTAGCAGCAGCAGAAGTAGCGGAGGCGGTTTCTGTAGGTGCCGAAAGCGACCCTGCTCTGCTGTATCCACCCGATGCATTGGCTTGACCAGGTGCTCTTCCCTCACTACCTTGAGATGGTGCATTATCGTGCTCGTTTTCGGCACCACTGCTGGGCACCTCCATACTAGTTGGGGCGGAGCGGGAACAGTCGAATTCAGGAGCACTGTAGAAGTGATCTATTAGGACTTGGAGACTTCGGTAGTAGGAGGCCTCCGATGTTATCACCTCAAACATAGCCTATAGACACAAATATCCATAAAATCGTGGAGGTGAGTAACTTATAACTCCCTACTACCTATTCAGCAAAGTAATGTTGAAAAGGAGAGGAATTTTTACTGCCTCAAAGCGGTCAAAGAGCAAACAGGTAGGCTTAATGACTCGGTTTGAGGAAAAAATGGTGGTTAACAACCCATTCCCTTTTTTCCCCTATCAATGCGAAACACTGCAACTTTTAATTCCACCATAGAGCTGTCCTCAGACTTGCGTAAAATCACGTGTCTTCTCGTGGTGAACTTTTAAGTCACCTCATGGTGTCCAATTAGTTTTTTTTCCCCTATTCCTATGATCCTTTGGATGTTCTTTTTTAGCCTTCTTCCCTTGGGGAAGGTGTGCGTTTGGCCTAATCAAGGCGTTGGATTTGTGAGTGTGGGGAGTCTTTTTTCTTTTTTTTTTGAGAAATTTCATCCAACACATGAAAAGAGTTCAGCCAAAGGCGTTTCATTCACTCACCTCCTGAAGTTGAATTTCATGGCGTGTTAGCGACGTGACGAGATTTCCAGACAGCACCTAAAGAGTTGGTGAGGAGGGAAATTAACGGCGACGGAGAAATGATGCAGCATTGCAACGAATAAATAGTTAATGGGGGCTTGTCACCTCTCCTTCCCCTCAACTATTTACAATAAGGGTGCAACTTCAATGAGAAGCAAAGTAAACACTGTTATTTACACTGTGCAGAGGATAAATGGTGAATGCCTAGCGGCATCCAAAAGCGGTGGGGTGGTGGAGGAGGTGAGGCACGAGATGGAGGCTGGTGCTGTTCCACTTATGACGTAATGGCCACTCAAAATAAGTCCTAATAAATTTGACTTTAATCTACGTCTGCCGTGAAGTAATAAGTAAGTTTACAGTCTAGAAGACTGTTGTAATGCAACGCATAGAAGGTGATCATTAGGAGAGCTAAAATTCCTGTCTACCAGAAGGAAGCATCTAAGTTTTAATACTTTGGTTACAATAACATGCTGACAGGTTTTGGTCGTTGGCACTATTGAGCAGGCGCCATGAGATATCGGACAGTTTTCTCAACATGATCGTCATCTT